GTCTGATCCAGTTAAGAAGCTTTTCTCTTTCAGTACATTCATCAAGAGCATCCAGAATGATGAAATTTGAACTAAAGCCATCAAGAATTGCTCGAAGAGTATTCTGCAGATCACCCAGAGTTGGCTCTTTATGGCCATTGCCACAGCCAGCATACAGATTCACTAAGACTTTAGGCAGTCTACCCTCACACTTCAGAGAGAATTGCCAGATGAGTGATCGCAGTAATTTATCATGGAGCTGGAAATCCTTCTGTAAGTCTCTTCCATCAAAAAAGAAATATGCAGTAGCAGAATTGAATCTTTCGAGAATATTGTGAATTATTGCTGAGCTGTGAAGAGAAATTTTAATTTAATTTCATAAAAATGTTGAAACAATCAACCTTAAGATGGTTTTCCCAGAGCCAGCTGGATAGACTGTCAATAATGAATAAATTTACAAATGTTGGCAGAAAACTTACATTTTCCTTTGATCCAGAGAAAGCCAGGCTGTTTGAGCCACCCATAAAATGTATTTCCCTTGAGAAACCATTGACAGGTGTTCAGCTGACTCTCCAGAATTGTATGTGCAGCATTGTAGTTAATAGACTCCTTGGGTGGAGAAAGCCACTTATAAATCTTCTCCACTGTAACAGAAAAATGAAGTCAACTACACATTCACAACAAGAATCTGCAATAATACCCAGTTGGTCATCTCTAATTGTCTCAAGTGTGATTTGAATATTTGGGTCCACACCTACCAATCACAAACAACATTAAGATGAAGATGATGTTTTTCTTACTACTTACCTTGATTGATGGTACCTATTAAAATATAAGTGAAGGCAATAACATCTGATGGTCCAAATGCAACGAACCATAGTTAGGACCTGTGTTCACATTTTGAGCTGAGATGTTGTTTATAATGTCAGCTTGAAAGTTTGTCAAGGACTCTGCATGGTCTGTCTAATTTGAGCAAGCCTGAACTATATTTATAAGAGTACTGACTGGCAGGCATCAGTTCTGCATTCAAATCAGAATGAATAGATAGAGTGATAGGCAGGTCAGAACTTGGAAAATCTAAACAGAGTTATCAGAAATAGAATATAGAGATTTGAAGCAAGCATGAACCTGTCAAGATAGGAGAAGGGTGTTGCAAGGAATCAACAGCTCCTTGCATGGGACCTTCAATCTGATCAACTGTGAGATAAGAATTGATGAAGGTTAGTATGAACTTTACAGCAAACAGAGTGAGGGGTGTCTCACAGGCTTCAGCAACAGGGGCAATTGATGGAGTGGTAGGCAGGTAAGAACTCAGGATATCTATATCAGTGTTACCAATGATGAATGACAGAGGTTTGGGGTTAATGCAGACCAGTGGAGATAGGTAAAACTTGTTGCAAGCACTCAAGCCCTCCACCCACAGAGACATCAACCTGATCACCTGGAAATTTGGATTGATGAGCAATCAATGCTCACTTTGATGCAGGAAGATTAGAATGTATCTTACTGCTGCCTGCCATGGCTATGTCCACTGCACTGATGGTTGAAGATGGAGTTATCAAGATAGGCGGGGCAGAGCTGGGGCTGACGGATTCACGTTAATATTTATCTAGTAGCGCGAGATCATGACTGCTAACCTCAAACCACCATAGCGTTTATGAGGTGGGTGGTCAGCGATCGTGCCGGGCAATTCCTCGAGCTTGCGTTTCAAACGATTTTCGCGGGGGTCAATGGGATCAGACATGGTGGTTCAGAAGAGAGAATCGATGCTGTGCGGCGTCAATCTTCAAATGGGTAACGGACCGTTTCACAGAGTCAGCTGACATTTCTGATTGATCACTTGCCTCCCACTTGCCTCCCAAAGTGGTTCGGCGTCAAGTCAGGCCACAGATGGCGGTCAACTGAGAAGTGTGTCAGAGAAGCAAAACGACGAACACCTTTCAAGACTGAGAGCAATTGAAACTCCAAGGGACGAACGAAAGGAAGTTGCGTGGTCACGGTCATGCTTGTTCTGCATGTGGCTGTGCGGAAGACGACTACTTTTCTTTCATTGCCTTGCGACCCACCTATAGACCCTCCTACTTGCAAAACCGTTGTTGTCAAGTCGATGTTGTGTTTGTTCTGCCAGCTCCCCGTCGCGAAGTACCCATGGATTCAACTCGCCGCGAACCCCCCTCGTCGAATGGAGTTTCATGACGAGTCGTCCAATGTTTCCTCTCTAGGTTCAGCTACTGCCGACATCGCCTGGAGACCCGACCTCCCGCTGTGATCAAAGTGAAACCCGATAACCGCCTTCGTCAACTTGTACCGATCCACAGAGAGCGGGCAGCTGTTGAGATTGAAAGCATGCGCTGAAGATGTTCGAGTGCATCGGCTCTGAGTGAGTTCCTCCTTCCGTTAGATTTACTCCCCTTTCTACCTTAGCTCGTTTTCCCCTTCTGTGCCGCAACCATACCCCTCTTCTTCCGTCTGCCCACGTCAGTCTAATATGCTGACAATTCTGTGACAGTTCCGGTCCTGTTAATTTCGTTTACGAGCGCCATGCGTACAAAACCGCAAACCACAGATCTCTACTGGTACGACTTGGGTACGCGAATTGAAACCTTGAAATTGGAAAGTTTACTGGATGTTTATGCTATCAACAGGATTGCAATCGACTTTCTTAGACTACCTGATAACCCGGTAACCCGCTCGAAGCCACTTTGAATAACATGGAGGAAACTCCGTTAGCTCAAGTTGATCGTCAGTATTTCTTTCTTGCAAGTTGACAACGCCTGCCCTAACGGCCCTTCCGTTGCAGACATGGCGGGCGTTTTCAACGATGCCTAGCTCGACGACGGTAATACCCTCTTGAAAAACTCCACACAGAATGCTAGGTCACTGCCGTCCACCTGATCATGATTGCAAGCTTTAGTCGGAGAGCTGGAGAGTCGGGATAACCATATCTCCTTTGGTAAGTTATCGCCCTTGCGTTACCCATTCTTTCGTACCCTTATCCCTCCCTCGATCTCTGGATGCCTTTTCACCTCGCATATATTGGATATTTCGTTCGCTAACTCCCCCGTTCGTTACTCAGGTTCTGGTTTCATAACCCCAATGCAAGCCCAACTTCGATGCTTGTACCGTCTTTCCTCCACCATGACCGCAACATTCCCTCGTGTATCGATTCACGAAGGAAATTTCGCCATTGTCTAATCCTGTTAACGAACTCGCCTCCATACCAAGCTCACTGGTCGAACATCGAATCTTTGCCAGTGGCCGCAGGCAGACCCCTCACACATCGATCGTCTCATCGATTGCGCCCAGCTATGTGGCTTTCAGTCATTCGCCCCTCCAAATGCTCGCGCAGTGCTCAGAGCTTTTCGGTTACCTCATCCCGACGCTCTGTGTGTCGTGGCATACACGGTATGCCACTCAATGGCCCCAATCTCTGCCCGTGATACCAGCAATCATTACCTCTGAACTCGGCGTTCACACCGCATAGATTCTCCATCGTGCGTATCCATCCGCAGCTCGTCGCCGCCACGGGCTGCCGCAACGTCACACATACGGATGTACCCACCGCTGATTGGCTTCTGTAAGTTTGGATTACGCGTGGCCGACGACGATGGGTACTGACACCTGCCTTCTTTTTCAATAGTTTCTCCGGCCAATAACGAACTACCAAGGGCAAGGGCCTAGGGTGAGAAACACCATACTCATCGGAGGGTCTTCGTCTCTTCTCGCGCGGACGCCGACTTCCATGGAGGGTTGGTGGGCGTGGCTATTGCGCATAGGTCGGTCATGCTTGGATGCTACGCATGCGTCGGGTTAGTGCTCACAACAATTGTCCACAGGTTTGCTTGGGGTGCGTATGTATGCTCTGCTTTTGCTCCACGGGAAGGAGAAGGGGCGTAAAGTCTGGTACAGCCTAGATCTTGGTAGCGGTATTCGATGGTGTAGTGGTTTTTTTGGCTGCAAGCCTCAGTCTCTGGTTTGACATGCGACTTTGAGGCTTCAACGTCGACAAAGCCAAGACGTTTGACTGATTTGCTATTACTTCCTACTCCTACAAGTTTCATATAACCTCTGTCGCGGAAACAGAATTTCATGTTTTGTATGTAGCGCGGGACTTGTACACGATACGGCATGCTACAGATGGCCCATAGGTCTTTCTGCGTAGATTCTGCACAGTAAGTTGATTTACGACCTCCCGAATAAACGCTAACCCAAGTTGGAAACTTCCATACCCTACAAACGGAGAGAGAGTAAATTGTGACCGGCTGAGAGCAGACACCGTGACAAGATGGATGAGTAAGGACAGAAAGGGAGAACCAAGAAGACGGACCACAGGAGGGTGAAGAGTCCCGTTGCGAGCGTGAATGGCCCAGTTGAAAGGAAAGGCACCAGTATCACGATGATAGTTGCAGTCAAAAGTCGTTTCAACAAGCCGGAGGCTCTTCGTGATCGTTGATAAGGGTAGTCATTCTGTCAAAGGGGTGGTGTTGTTCGTATCATCGAGGAACCAATTCGAGAGACTTACCATGCAGATAGGAACTCCACAGCACAAGGTTTTGTCAACGGCCGTTCTTAATTCCACGCACAAACCGAAAGGGTAAGCGGCTAGTCGAATCCTCCATCGATCACCAACGGAGGTGGAGGTAGCGGCTACAGGGGATGGAAATTGAACGTTGAATACTGAAAGATCGAACAACGAGGGAAGCGAATGCTTACCACAGTCGAAAGGACGACACAGGGCGTGGCGGCCCTGCAAAAAGAGCGCCACCAACAAGGACAATCATCGCTCTTGATCGCCACACCCAATATCCCGAAACCGTTTTTCTCTCTGCTATCCTCCATCCAAGTAAGAACGAGGTAACGGGGTAAGCACATACGGCGGGATTTTGCACTGGCCTATACTCCGCTCGGCCATGCGCTCGGAGTTTACCACCAAGGGCTTTCTTTCGAGCTATTACGAATCTTGTGCAGCAGCCCAGAGCTGGCCACGAGTAGGAGAAGGGGAAAAGAAGGTCGGAGAAAGCGGTGAGCGCTAGCCCTTGCCTGTCTTGTGGAATAGAGTCGAAGAGGACATGAGCAAATGAGAACGGGGTGGACTTTGTAGGTCTGTATGCCGGTGTCAGCAAAGTCTTTTGTAAAAAAGGGAGGGGAGAAGAGAAGCGTACTTATAGAACGATCCGCACACATCCTAGTCGAAGAACCCACTTCCTCCCCTTCCATCGCGACGTTCCATTGAAATACGCCGTGTCTTCTCGGTTTCACGAACGGACCACAACGAGAAAGAGGGCACGATGACGATAGAGGGGGAAGTTTCAGAACCTGGTTGTTTACTTGACACACGTAGAAAAGGCGGCGGCTAAAGATGGACGTTAAAACTTTTGCGTATTGAAGGTCAAAGATCTAGGGCGACATGGCATTGACGAGTCTGGGAGATGCGATGGCACTTCCGTGGGTCGTAGGGTTGAAGGTTAAGCGGCCTGGATGGCAACTGCAATGAATCCAGTTGCGTGGGCCACAAGATGGCGACCCTCTTGCACACCTGAGTATAACGTAATCGGCGTTATAGGGCGAGTCCTCTGCGAAAAGCCCATTTCTTACGGGGAAGGAAGAGCATGGTTCACGTCGGGAGGGTGACTGAAGGATAATCGGCGTTATAGGGCGAGTTCTCTGCGAGAGTAAATTAAGGGGAAGGAAGGACAACTGATACAGTTGTCGACTTCGATGGCCCGCCGACGCAGGAAGCTAGAGTGAAAACAGACTTAGACCCCAGAAGAAGAGAAGAGAAAGCGCGAACTCACCCTCAGATGTTCAAACGTTCAAGTTCCCCAGTCGCATGTCACTCGGAACAACGGGTTCACACTGGTTCGCGTCCTCACTGGGCACGAAGGACATTGCAAGGATAGGTTAGCTCTCGTTACAACTTATGAGACCGACGTCATGGCTTCCTTCAAAAAATTGTGACCCAGGTGTGACCCACGTTCCGTTCGACCGAACGCTCTTGACATCTCCTTGTCCTTCGTTCGAGCGCGTGAGTACGAAGTGGAGCATTTTTTGCGCATAAAGCTTACTGACATGAGCAGGTGCGGTTGAACTTTAAAGCAAATCCAGGCAAAGGTCAAAACATAACGGAACCACAACACAACGTAACGACATCGACTCACAGATGCCAATATCTCACCACTGGGTCCCACATATGGGGCCCTTTCCAAGTGACCGAATGATAGTTCCACTCTCACCTCCCAGCACCAGTACCGTGGAGCTTGAATGGCCGACATCAACGAAGGATGTCTGCTGGCTGTCTTTCTAATGTATGCCTCGGATAACATCAGATCGCGACTATCCCACTAATCAATCATCCTTCTCTTAGCCTTCTAGAGGAAGGTCACCATCACCCCGTCCACCCTCCCCACTCCGAAACGCGCTCTTTCCAGGGAACTCGACAGACGTCGATCCAGACTCCAAGTCCGATCACGGCTCAGATGACGACGATGACGTCCAGGAAGACGACCAAGGAATGTGGCAGCAACGTTCCCGATCATCCTCCTCATCCGTCTCCCATCTCCCAGCGAACTTCGTCCAAAGAATGGGTACAGGTACAGTCGTAGGGGGCATTTCACCGCGATTACCTATGCTACGCGACGCAGCTGGAAGCTGAAGCGGAGAGGGAACGCGACTGTAGTCGTAGAGAGGGGGAAGCTATACTCGGGGGAGGTCCAGGCAAGGAGACCCGTTGACGATTGTGCGCTGGCTACGATGGTGAGACGCTCCCTCCACCGCCCCTCAGGCTTCAGATGCCTAATCCACCGTCCCCGTCTGATTCGCAAACAATCGGGTCGCGCTACTAGTTGGTGGTCTGCTGCGAAGAGTAGGCTTCCGCCCACGAAAGACCCGCTCATGCCTGCTCAGCGCTCATTCAACATGAACCACGTACCTTTTGCCTCCCCACCCTCGCCTACCTCTTCTCGTTCGAGTCTCTCGACTACGCCACCCAACTTGGCTTCTTCTCCCATGCGTACAACGGATACGTTGTCTTCCCCCCCTTCTCGTGAGGCTTGACCTTTGTATGCCCAGTTCATATCTACCAGGTACACTCCTCATGATAGCCAAACGCTTCGACAAGCTCGATAAATGGACCATGGGACACGTTAGGGCTTTGGAAGATCGGATGAACGAGGTTGAGAGGTGGTTAGTCGACAAGGAAGGGGACAAAGGAAAAGGAAAAAGTGAAGGAGAAGGATTGCGAGTCTGAGTGCATGCGGGTTCGACGGATAACTGAACCTCCGGGACGAAGTCGTCGAGCTCCAAAGCCGATTAGGGGAACTGCTTTGGGATATGGCAAAAATCGCAACGGCACCCTCTCTGCGGAACCTAAAACGCAGTCCGCCGCTGTATCAATGTTGGTCGCACCACAAACCACGTCCTCCATCGTCACGCACTCACATCCGACTTCTTCAATTGCAACGCACTTGACAGGATCTCCATCAGCACCCAGCACGCCTATCTACCATCTCAGGAAGACTTCGAAGAGGAAAGAGTCGGGCACGAGGTTACCTTGCCCCACGGGAGATTATTCTTCTGCGCCAGACACGCTCTCCCCTGTAATTCTCCACCTTCGTCGATTAGTTCCGCTATGAAGGCCTTTGTCTACGGCCATTTCGGGGTTACCCCTCCATTTATCCTCAGGACTGGGTATACTACCAGGTGCTTCGTACTCCACCACCTCTCTTTCCTCACTGGCTTCCGGTACGGGTCGGCTGCCGTCCCCGCCTGCTCAACCCAAGTTCGCTCCTGCCTCTGCTTCTACCAACCGAACGGCCAGCCCAACACCCACACCTGCAAAAGGACGAACAGCACAGCAAGGATTATCACCCCCGAAATCGGCTGCTGGGAAAAGATTGACGAGTGTAAGCCCCACGCCAAGGAAATGGTACACCGTTGTGCTAGGAGGGCCGATAACCGCGCTCCCTGATGAGGATGAGTTTTCCTCAAATGCTGCTTCTTTTTTTTTTTGCCACCGCCGCCAATACCGCCGCCAATACCAATGCGAATACTAATACCCATACGGATTCACCTGCTACTGCTCCTTTATTGAAAAGGGTAGGCACACCACGGTCCTACTCCCGTGTGATTGGGGGGTCATTTTCCGTTTCTCCCGTGGGGGACGATGACGATGACAAGAAGGAGGAGGAAAGCGCAGGCGAGTTCAGAGAAGGTGAAGAGACCATCGGCAAATCTTCCGGCATCAAGCTCAAGAACGCGAATGGGAGTCTGTCTTCCACCACCTCAAACTCGATATCGCCTGGTGGACCTGGGGGCGGCGATTACAAATTCACAGCCACTACCTCACCATCGCCATCCACTCGTCGGATCAGGGCACAGAGTGCGTATGGGTACGCTAGCCTCCTCCCTCCTCAGACTTCATCACAGACTCTTACCATGGGGACCACTGCACCACTAAAGCCGAAGTTGAGGTCCCGCTCTTCTGAGCGGCTTTCCTCTGGTACCAGTTCCATTGGGACGGGAGACGGAATGATAAGCGGTGGTCTTGGAGGAGGGGGGACCAAGTTCGTGGACCCGTTGTTGTTGAGGAGGCAGCAGTACCAGCAAAGTCAGGAGGGATTACAGGTGAAAATGCCGATGCCGATGCCAGTGGGGAAGGTCCCGATTGGGCAGTTGGTTGCGTTTTTTGATGGGGAGAAGGGGGGGAGGACATAGGGTTAGCTGTTGAATCAGACAAGGGTTTTTTTTTTTTGAAGCAGGATGGATGGAGAAATGGAAGGGAAGACTGTTGTAATGAAGGAAGGAGAGTGCCCAATGGGTATGGATCTGGAATGACTGATATGCTATGTACCTCTGACTTGCTTTACTTATACCCTCCCAATGATATGAGAGTACTTACTGATAGCTTGGTTTTTATATTGCCTCAGTTTTTTTTTTACTTCAATGCCTTTTTTGTATATCATATCTGTGTCTTGATGATGTGTTGTATTTCAAGTTGGTGATACCAAGGGGCAGGCAACTGAGCTTCTGGTCAAATCAATGTGTGAACTATCATGTGCTGGCCAGATTGGGCTGTCACACAAGTGGACATGTGCTCAACCAACACTCAACACACACTCCCAATGCACTCCCCAACACATTAAGTACTCCACCCAGTAGACCCTATCACACGTAAAAATAAATGAGGTTGTATTCAAGTACCCAGAGCAAAGCAAATGACATCTTTTAAACCTCCCAGTCTACCATCTGGAAGGCATTTTGGCTGTATAAATTTGTTGTAATTATGTAGCCATCCATAAATTTTCAATCCTACTGAGAGCTATCTAGGCCTAGTAGACTCTGGTAGAGCTGTAGCTGCTGGTAGATGCATAGTCACGGTAGAATATCAGGCTTGGCAGATGATCTGTTCCAAATCTGTTCCTGCAATGATGCGAGTGGCATTATTTACTGCCAAAAACAGGCCGTGGGACACTGATCACCTACAGCTAATGAGGTATCAATAGACCAAAACTCCAAACACTCCACTCAGTGACTTTATTTACTTTTGGAGCTGGCCAAACAACTTCCCACAGCCAATTGGCAGGCATTGCCTTCCCACCCCTTCCCACTGTTGCGTATATAGTGATAAATTCCTGGTTAGGTTGTTTGCACGTACCCTGAGACTCCACAAGTAAACAAAGTCACTAAGTGGAGCATTTTGAATTCTGGTCTATCAATACCTCGTTAGCTGTAAGTGTTTGACTGCGCTTTTTACAGTTGGAAGTTTCACATTCAATGTTCAATGTTCAATGTTCCCTCACCCTCACCTTCTCTCTACCCCTCACAGTGACTCAAATGCCAGTGGATGAAGGTCATGCTACCAATCATTAAGGTAAGCTCCACTATGCATGCTGTCAAGGGGGTTCAAGAATTAAAAAAAAGTAGCTGGGGTCGAATTTTTTTGTAAGGCCCTGTGTGCTTGACCTACCTACCTACGTAATCAGGCACATGCCTATATATGGCAATATGACATCATCATCATCATCACTCTGATCCTCTAAGGCTTCGCATACCCAATTTCGTGGGGCTATCTGCAATGCAACACATTGTAGGGTACTAAAAAATAAGTGAGTGTAGTGATTAACTTGTGCAAGACTGATACTCACCCATTGAGTCCTCACATCCAACCCTTTTACATTTTACCAAGCCAATGCATTCTGAGTGCAATACCAGGACCCCCGGCAATAGCAGAAAAGGCCAGATCCCCCCAATCTGGACAAAAAGGGACAAAAATGGCTAGAAAAAAAAACCTTTTTGACGTGCAATGTTCTGAAATGTCCAAATCCGAGTTCAATACGCGTGGGAACATATTTTCCATCTGGACAAAACCCCCATTTTCAGGATCAGGCCTTTTCTGCTATTGCTGGGGGTCCTGCAATACCACACCACACAGGCATCCGTTTAGAGCATCTGATGTGTCAAAAGCATCAAGATGATTCGAGTTTTGAAATCAGGTCACACAGCATACACATCAGTGTCAAGAACTGGTCTCTAACTGTTTTGTCAGTAAATTGTGATTGATTAAAACATTAGACAAAAATTTGATGAAGATTAGACTGTGAAAAATAATTTTGAAGCCAGAAATTGGGCCGGATATAATGAAATATAATATCCAGTCAAGATAATGTACTATACAATGATATTTTACATGCAGGAATACTGTAAATCACCTTGGAAAACCAATTTAGGACTATCTCATAGAGGGTTCCAAAAATCTTTTTTTCGGCCTATGGCCGACCTACCTACCCAACCCCTGGTCCAGCATTCAGATCCCTGAACCCCCTTGCATGCTGTCCCACTTGTTTAATGCTAACCTCCATGGGCAGCAGGCACATCCATGATTGTTTGCTCACTCCTGGTAAGCAAAACTACAGCACATTGCTTCAGTCTGACTAATGATGCTAATGCCTTGCATACAGTGCAATGAAATTGCTATCATGGCTATGATCACTGTGTTTTGCACTGAATTGTATTTAGCAAGAAACACAAATAAACATTGGACTTTCAGAAAAAGACTACAACAGACTTTCACAGTTTATTTTTTCAAGACTTTACACCATTTTTCGAACTTTCCTTGGGGCAAAAAGTCTAATCTTTTAACATGTATACCTCAGAACAATGTGGGTGACATCCAATTCCCTTGGATAACCTTTCATGTTTCTGGACTTGGTTTTCATGAAAAATTTCATCTTTTCATATCTATTAAATTGATCAAAATATCTGTGGAATGATGATCTCAAACACATCTGGGCAGTCAGCAGACCTGAGCCAGAGGTTGCTTTCATTAGGAGAGAGGGCTGAGAAGGCAGAGACTCAACTTGCTGAACTTGCTGCCAAGCATGCAGCCGATTACCTGTTGCTTGTGGACAAGATTTCTGAGCTTGAAAACAAGGTTGCATCCCCCATCTTGAGCAGGGCCACATTCCCTTGTATCATATCTCATTTCCTCATACCTTTGATATCATATATGTGATCTAGTTCTGTTGCATGTTTGTTAAGTCAGTGTTTTCTATCCCTGATAAGGGGATAGGTTTCCATATAGAAGGTTTTGTAGGAGAAATTGCTAAAATTCACATTTCTATGAGTGTAATGTTACACTCTGCATCAATGCCTGTGGAGCTTTAGTTTTGTAAATTGTACTAGGAATGTTTTATGTAATTTTTTGTGGGGCAATTTTTTCATTACAAAAGTTTGTAGTCTCTGCTTTTTGGACTACAAAAGTTTGTACTCTTTCTTTCTTCACTACAAAGGCTTGTAATGTGTGCTTTACCATGTGATTTTTCTCACTTGTGATATGATGGTATTCATGCTTGCTTTCTATATTAGGACTTTTCACTCACCATCAAACAACTAATTGAATTCCATTTCAAAACAATATACTAAAACATTACACTATTCTCCACACTGCATTCAAAAGCAAATACCAAAATGTCATATGGTTCCAGACAAGTGAGAAAAATGCATTCCAATGATGTTTTCCACAAAATGTACCCTGCTTGTACCTTGACCATGTTAAAATAATGAAGGATCCAAGATATCTTTTTCATTATCATCCAGATCCTCCAAGAAATCTTCACTATTCTGTGGCCTAAATGATAATCTTTTCCCTAATACACTGGGTGCATCTGACTAATATTTACATCTGCTCCATTCTTGCTAAGTAGCTCCACAATTGCCTCATGGCCTCTACGGGATGCTGCCTGGAGTGCATTTCTATAGAATCCTCCCTGTGCATTTACATCTGCTCCCTTCTCTATGAGCAACTTTGCAATTGCCTCATGCCCTCGATGTGATGCTGCCTGGAGTGCATTTTCATAATCTCCTCCCAGTGCATTTACACTAACTAGGCAAAAAGATTGTCCGAAAACTTTTGTGATGAAAATTGGTTTGTATCTCCACAAAATCTGAACTTTTTGAAAAACTTCAATGACTACAGTAAACTACTACATCCATTCTATACACTAGAAAAATATCAGAGCATTTGAACAAAAAAAGCAGCATATTCGTGGCCAGTAAAATTATTTGTGCCGTGACCGTGGGATATTCAAACGCGTCGCATCAAACAACTTTCTGGCTCTCTTCATTGCAACTGCAAACCGCACCTCCGGGGGAATCTGCCTATGTTCACAACCCTGCCATGGCTCCTAATACGACCCCAACAAAATGAGAAAAGATCTGTACCATGAGAGCGGCTGGGTACTCTAATGATGAAATCCGCGCTGCTTTGATTGATCATCATGACCTTTCTGACCGACAAATCAGGCGCATCGTGAAGAGATATGCGGGAAAGGAGAACTACTACGAAGTTGGACATTCAACGGGGCGCCCTTGCAAGCTCACTCCCTGTGACATGCGAATTGCCTGCCGACACCTGTCAAACCAGACCGCCCACGACGCATCAGACCTGCAGCGCGAGTACTTCGTGGAGGTTTCCGTGGACACAATTAAGCGGGCACTTCGACGAGAAGGTCTCGAACCTCATATTCGACGCACAGTGCCATATATCTCCCACAAGAACCTACACGTGCGAAAGAGTTGGGCTGAGGAACGGCTGGAATGGACTGTCAATAACTGGGAGGCTGTGGACTTCTCGGACGAGTCCATATTCCACCCTTTTGGCTCTGATGGGATGGAATGGTGTTGGAGGAAGCCAGGAGAGCGCTTGGACCCGCGGTTTACAAAGAAGAAGGTTAAGCACGGTGGTGGGAAGGTTGTGGTATGGGCGATGATTACACCGTATGGAGTTGGACGGATTGTACGGATTGAAGGCAACCTCAACAAGGAGTTGTACTGCGAGATATTGCAGGACGACCTCCTGGGTACCTACCAAGATCTTGGCCTGGATTATCATGACCGCTATTTTCAGCAGGACAACGACCCAAAGCATACTTCGAAGCTTGTTCAGGCCTGGTTTCGCAAGAATCATGTCGATTTGTTGCCATGGCTG